ATATATATATATATATATATATATATTATTAAGGCCAATAGTAATGGATGATAAATAAGAATCAGTGGCTCCATACTATTCACTACAATAAAGTAAATAAATGACAAAAGAACAAATGAGGTTCTTTGCAGTAGATATGTAATGATCTTTTCTCAGCTTGCTTAAATAAATTTAAAAAGGAAAATAGTTCATAACAGAATCTTGTTAAAAACCTCAAACCACTAATATTGGGGCAAAGCAACATCATGTGCATCCTAATAATATGAACTGAAAAAGATAAAAAGCACTTCAATGACAATGTTGCAACTTTACAATGAGGTTGCAAGCCAGGTATAGTAAGTAGTATGTGCCTGTAGTCCCAGCACTTGGTGAGCAGAGTCGGGAGGACCACAAGTTCCATACTATTCTGGCCTACATAGTAAGACTGTCTAAACAATAATAATAAAATAAAGAAAAAATGTTTTTACATGAAGTTATCATATATTGACATAGTGGGACTACACGATCAAATTTAGTGGGGGAGGATTTGGCATTGGTGTTGAACTTTAAGAAAGCTATCAAACAGGTGAGTGACATGCTGAGTTAGATGTCAAACTCTAAGTCCTACTGTTCAGAAGGGGTCTGAACACAAGATGGAAACGTTCATGTTGGCAGCATGTGGTACCAGTTGAAGCCATTACCTCAATGAGAGATCAGTTAATAGGAAAAGGAAACTAAGACCTGAAATTTGTGACACTTCAACCTTACAAAGTATTCTCCATCAAGATGCTTCCTTGATATGCTATTGGAAAATGATTTGTAGTGAATTTTCCATAGTTAGGGCCTGAAAATTACATTTAAAATTTTATCTTTGTGTCTTCCTTACATGCACTAAGTTTGAGAACACTTGACCTAACTTCACTGTTTCCTGCCACGTCATTCTGAGGGGTAGCAAGTGCAAATGAATTAAACATTACATGAAAACATTTGTGTATTACTGCCGACTCTGGCTCAAATTTGCAGTTGTCAGTGATTTTCCTCAATTTGAAAACAGGAACTTGGAGGCCAGGGACAAGAGCGAACGTTCTTTTTTGCCATTCCTGTTTCCCAGAAGGGATGTATAATCAGCCAAAAGGAGCTAATAGATTTTAAAAATATTGGCATCTTGAAATTTTTCTCTTAAAATACTGTGTAATAACAAGCAATCTTTAAAAAAAAAACAGCATGAAAATATACGTTAGTTGAATTATAACTGTCAGTCATAATAATTCTACTAAATATTCATGACAGGGTGCTGAAGCAAGGGTGTCTTAGAAACTGAAATAAAAATCAAACTTTATTGCTTTATCTACTATTGGGAATGTTTTTTAATGTGTTAACTGAAATGAACTCTTTTCAGCTTACACTAATATTTTCTTAAAATTCATGAACTAATAAAGGAACCCAAGGTGGTTTAAACTTCTCTACGTTGTTTGTATTATGAAATTAGGACTAAAAGAATCTTCTAGTCATTACAATTTTTCCATTCAATCTAGAGACAGAATTAAGTTACTTCAGAAGAGGAAGATGTGTCCTATTCTTTAAAGCTTCCCAAAGTGTCTAGTTTAAGCATTATTGGAGCATTTATTTACTCTCAAATGATCCTCTTTATGCCTATCAATATTTAGCTTATATTAGTACACATGAAGTAGCTGACTTTTTAAAGCCCATTTCATTTCCATATGAATTATAAATTGAAGTGTAATATCCTGAATAAAGTAATTGACTTTACTACTAAAGTTGTATGGCCTTGGATAAATTACTTTTGTAATGGCATTCTACTCTGTAATGATGGGATTGTAAAACCTTACAGAAAAAAAAATAATAATAATGCACTTGTATAGTTCTGATGAACATCTCCAAAGGTTAAATACTTGATTCTCAAGAAGAACTATTAGAAAGTGGTGGAGCCTTCACTGGATGAGGCTTTGTGGAAGCCTCCTTGAGTCTTAGAAAGTGTTCCCACACAGGAGACAAGACCCTAGCACCTTTGTCTTTGCATCTTCCTGTCTTACTCTTTTGCTAACTGTCCATGAGGTGAGTAGTTTTGTTCCATTACATACTCCCACATCACTGTTCTGCCTTACCACCGGCCAAACCAATGCAATTGTGCCACATCACAGTTTGTAAGTCAGTGAACCAAAATAAACTCTTTGGCTATCAAATTGATTGTCCCAGGTATTTCATTACAGTAAAGGAAAGCTGCCTAATACAGGAACTTGAAATAAGAAGAACAACAATCAGAGATAGCAGTTATTGCTGGCTTTTACATTGGACTCAGTACTCATGTAGACCTTTTCTGTTGTCATTATCAGTGCATAGCAGAGTGCCTACCTTGAGTAAGTAATGAATGTTAACTTCTCGGGGGAAGGTGGAAGAAAATAAGGGAGGAGATAACACTATTCAAAAAGAAATGTACCCATTACCTTACTTGTGTAACTGTAACCCCTCTGTACATCACTTTATAATAAAATTTAAATTAAAAAATAAATAAATGTTAACTTCTTAGCAATCAGGGAGGCTTAGAATAAATGTTGGAACTGATCTTGAGGAAAAGAAAACTTTGGTAGATAAAGGAAAAATATAGGAATGACAGGAAGTAAGCTGAAGTATCAATTTTATAATAGGCTTTGAATGCCAGAATAAAGTGTCCTTCTATTCAGCTAGTCCTGTAATATCTCAGATACAGTAGTGGAAGTAAAGTGTGTGGAAGTGATTAATAATCTGTAGTGAGTACCATAAAATGTTCATCTGAAACTCATCTTGTTTTAGCCTTATATTCCTCATCCAACTAGCCCTTAATATGTATCTTCTACCAATATGTATCTTCTACTCAGTATAAGAGTATAAGTATAAAATATATATCTTACACTCTTTCTGACTACTTGTGTGTTTTTTAATAATAGTATTCTCTCATGCTTCAGAGTCCTAGCTGAATAATTAGCTTTCTAAGGTCAGAATTAATGTTTTGATTTATTTTGTATTTCCTATTCATTAGTTAAGGGTTTTATTTACTTCGGTTTCCTTTCAAGAAGAAAATGTTAAGCCACTAAAAGTTTGCATTAATTAATTACCTTTATTAGTTTTAACTGGTGGAACAAAGAAGTGATAATGAAAATTTTCAAGTGCCACTTGGCAGATAGTAAATTCAAATGATCATACTAGCTTGGAGATTAGCATTTGTTCAAGTTGTTTGAAAAATTAAAAATGCTGAGTCAAAGAATTACTGTCAAAGAATGAAAGGAAAGAAAAGAATGAACAATATGATAATTCTGGAAATGATTCTGTGTACCTGCATGCTGATTTTAATTGAATGCCTTAATCTCGGTAGTTCATTACATATCCTATGCATTACATTATGAGAATAACTTCCATGAGCATCAAGCCATCCTATATTGAAAATTATATATTTGTTGAGCAGCTGTTGTGTTCTGGAATATAGCTAAATGCTTGATATTAATAGTCTTCAATATTCAGTTGAGCTTTTGATTAGCTTTTATTTTAGAGTATATTTGAATTTGTGTTTAGGGGAGTATACATGGGTATGTGTTTATACACTGTGTTGTATTAAAGAAAAGATAAAAGACTGGAATGTTCTTAGATTGGGAAGAGTGGTAAATAAAGCCTTTTTAAGGATTTGACGTGGTCACTGCATTGGTTATAGAGACATTATTTTGTGATGACAAAAGGAACAGGCAGATTATATCACCTTGGCATGTTTAGAGATAGAAATGTGTACCTGAAGCTAGATACTAGGTAGACAACAGAATAGGAACATTGACAGGAAGCTGAACTGTCAAGAACAAATACAGGTGGACCCTGGTAGCCCATTTGGTGAGAGTATGGGAATGGACACACATGGACACATCAGGAAACCACTAAAGATGGATAAGAATGGCTTGTATATTTAGAAAGATGTCTTTTGAGTATTGAGTGAGGGAAATACAATAAGGGTTAGGGCATAAATATTAATAAGAGGATGCATAAATGGAATATTGCAGAGAAAATGGGGAAATGGAGACCAATTGAAGATACATTACAGAAGCAAAAATGAACTGAATTCCTGATAAATTCAGTGGGAGAGACAAGGTAAAAGAGAAGTGCTAAACATAACTCACATATTTCTAACTTCAGAGAATGAAGTTCTGGGGCATGACAAAAGCTTAGGGAAAATTAAGAATAGTGGGGCAAATTAAGTTTGGTGGCATGTGGTCTTCAGGTAAAGATGTCATATCAGCAGGCTGTTTGTCCAAAGATTAGTTATAAGTTTAGAGCGATAGAGAAGCCAGATGCCAATGGCTTATGACTATAATCCTAGCCACTCAGGAAACAAGGATCACAGGTTGGAGCTAGCCCAAGTAGACAGTCCACAAGACTCCTATCTCCAAAATAACCAGCAAAATGCTCATCTGGTAGTAGAGCACTAGTTGAGCAAGCATACCAGTTGAGCAAACACAAGCCCATAAATTCAAACTCTAGGATTGGCCAAAAATAATAATAACAAAATCAACAGTAAAGATATGGAGACCTCAACAGAAGAAAACAGTCTCGATGACAGGAGTCATGGTTCTTGAAAACTGGTATTTAGTGTAAGGACTGAAGATAACCATATTATGAAATAATAAATAGAAATAGCAACAGGTAATAAATGGCAGCTTTGTGAATTAAGGAAAAGGAATGAGGAAGGAGAATTGAGTTTGAATGTCCATCATCTGAAAGGAATTGCATCTATTCAGTTCAGATAATTATTGACAAATAAAAGTAGGTTCAGTAAAAGCACCATACAGGAGCATTGGGCATGTGTTTGTAGTAATTTACCTTTCAGGAAGTCTGTTAAGTCCTAGAGAGTTGGTAAAATCATCAGAACTGTAACATATAAAAATAGGCTTTATCTCAGAAATAAAGACTATCTTATGTGCTTCTTGCTTTGTTTTTGCTTGTTTACCATGATCTAATATCAACATAAAAATATTATCTTTTAGAATGTAAAGCATAGAAAGTATGCGCGATGGAAGGCCACATACATCCATAATTGTTTAAAGAATGGGGAGACGCCACAAGCAGGCCCTGTTGGAATTGAGGAAGACAACGGTATGTGTTCATTTGTTCTAAGTAAAATGATTTAGTGGAATCGATTGTTGAGTAGAATTCAAAGTTTTCAGAAGAAACACGAAGGGGATATAACTCAGTGGTAAAGGATTTACCTTATGCTGGGTTACATGTCTGGGGAAAAAACATAATACTGTGATTTTGTTTTCACCCATGAAAATTGCATGTAAAATTGTAAATTTAGAAGATAGTGAGAAATTAAAGTCAAACTACAATATTGTGGGTCCATGTCAACAAAGTGGATCAGATTTCCTTCCTGCAGAGGAAAGACAATCCATTTATAATTTAGAAAATACTTGCAAACCACAAAGAACAGTATATTATCTTTTGTGTATCTATTGGACTTTTGGTTCTAAAATTATACAATATGTAAAGAAAATAACAAAGCCTTATTTCCACCACATCTGCCATCTTCCTTGATCTTATCGAAACTCAATTTCAACTACATTTAGTTAATATTTAAGTAAATATTTAAGTGAATATTTAAATAAATATTACTGTAACGTTTTGTGTGTCTTGAAAGTGATGGTTTTTATGAGTCTGTAAGCAAATGTATGCATATATATAGCTCCCTTTTTTCACCCAAATGATAATACACATACTTTGTTGCATTTGGACCTTAAAAAAAAAAACCTTTAATACATAAAAAAAACACCATCACATAGTTAATGGGTTTAAAACTTTTTAATCATGGAAAAAAAATAAAGGCCTTATTATTTCTTATTATTTCACTTGGCCTTTCGCTAATACATAATGAAAAGTAAAGGAAAACTTCTTTTTCCTTATTTATTTTATTGGTCCAACATGTAGAAAGACACAAAGAACAACACTGTTCTGTAGACTGAGAAAATTCTAGATAATCTTGCCTGTTGGAGTAAACTTTTCGACATCTGTGAACATCATTTAATTCAGGGCTCAGTAAGTGATGATATAGTAATTATCTTAAGCTTGTGGTCCTTAGTCTTTGTTGCAAACGTTAGAACCTGCTCTTGTTGTGTAAATATGGCCATAGACCTATGTATACAATGAATGTGGTTGTGTTCCAGTAAACCTTAGTTACAAAGCAATAACACTAGAATTATAAATCAACTCTGATTAATATCAGTATTACAATAGGGGAAAATGTATTTAAAATACTCTAAAAATCAAAAAGTACAAAATAAAGTATGGCATTTTAGAATGGTTTAAATACTTAATCTTCTCTAGTATTACTGAAAATAATAGGACTTAGACTAAGGAAGTCAAGACACAAGTTACAATTCTTCTTTGTGGTCTATGACCTTGAAAAGGCCAGAATTCCACAAGGAACCTCAGCTTCCCTTGTAAAACATGAATAACAGAGTGGCTCTTCAGGAGTTTTAAGACTGATAATTGTACGGGAAAGTGACTTGCAAGCTTGAAGGCACTGTATAAGTGTAAATAATCTATTATATAAAATTGACAAACATTTAATATAATAATGATGTTTAAGCAATGAAGGCCATAGAGCATGACATGTTCTTTATAAACAGATAAGAGCAGACTAACTTGAAACATGAAAACATGTCCCTGTAGAACTGACATTTACATACGGTATCCAGATATAAAAATATGGTGTTTCTTTTTTGTCAAGTGACAGGCATTATGAAATTGTGAGTAGTCCTTTGAATAAACAAATAAAATACAGTGGTGGTCTTCCTGTGTTCCTTTGTGTGTGGGGGGGTGGTCATTTTAGGGATTTTCATTAAAGTGAAGTTTATATTCAGTAGCAAAATTCATGCTTCTTAAATATATAGTTTCAAAATATTTACAAAGTATAGGGACGACTACCCCTGTAGCTATAATACCAGATATTACCATCAGTTCCTGTACTTTTTCCTTAAGTTTCCCCTCACCCCAAACAATTAATAGTGTGTTCTGTCTGTATAACATTGCTTTTTTTAGAACATTATATAAATGCAGTTATCATTACCTATCGTTTGGCTTTTGAAATCAATCTATATTAGTCAGCAACTCAGTGCCTTGAGTTGCTAAGAAGTATTGCAAAGATGCTCAGTGATTTGTTGATTCAATTATGAATGGATGGTATCTGGACTATTTCTAAATTGGGGGAATTAAAAATAATGCTCTTAAATACATGTACAGGTCTTTGTGTGAACATACATTTGCATTTCTTTTGAGCAGATAGCTGAAATTAGGACTGCCCCGGGCCCACTAACTTAATTACATATGTATTTTTACAGAAAAGTCCCTATTTTTCCATAAGCAGTGTATAAGAATTACAGCTGCTCAGAATCCTAACCAACACTCAGGTTAATTCAGCTCTAGATTCTAGTAAGTACAGAAGGTGTCTCGTGGTTTCGTTCTTCCTACTGATGAACAATTACAGCATCTTCTCATGTGGCTATATCACCTACACATTCTTTTTCTTTTCTTTTTCTTTTGTGACAAACCTGGGGCTTGAACTCCAAACCTGAGCACCGTCCCTAAGCTTTTTTCTGTAGGTTAGAGCTCTGTGACTTGAGTCACAGCTGCACTTCCAGCTTTTGGTAATCAGAAGTAAGAGTCTGAGGGACTTATCTGCCTTGACTGGCTTTGAACCAAGATGAGATTCTGTGATCTTGGCCTCCTGAGTAGCTAAAATTACAGGCATGAACCACCAGTGCCTAGTTTATACCTACATATTCATAAATATACATGGAAATGCTCAACTGTCCTATTTTGTCAATAGACCATAAAACCTTATAAGTTTTCTGTATCATTATAAATTGAGTTATAAATTGAGTTATATATTATCATTTGTCAAATGTGTTTGACAAATGTATTCTTTTAGTCTATTGCTTTTAACTGTCATTTGATTACCAAAGACTATAATACTAATGAAGAATAGTACATATATTTTTCAAATTTTGTGCACTATATTTTGCATCCTAAAAACTCTTTACTTTCCTCTACTTCAGAAATACTCCTAATTTTAGCTTAGAAGATTTGTAGTTCGAGCTTTAGCTTTTGGGTCTGGGATATATGGGGTGTGTGTGTGTGTGTGTGTGTGTGTGTGTGTGTGTGTGTGTGTGTGTGTGTGTGTGTGTGTGTGTGTGTGTGTGTGTGTGTGTGTGTGTGTGTGTGTGTGTGTGTGTGTGTCTGGGATATATGGTGTGTGTGTGTGTGTGTGAAAACAGGGGAATTAGAGTCCTTAACCATCCTCTCATACTCATAAAATATTCTGTTATTCCACCATTGTTATAGACTTCCTTTTGATACCTTTGCCAAAATTTCATTAACTATGTAAATCTGACTCGTTCCTAGACTCCATTCAATTACATTGATATTTTTCTGGCATATTCAAGCACTATACTCATACTGCCTTTTTAAAAAGTCAGGTAATATAAATCCTCTAAGTTTGATATTTTTTTAAATATCATCTTGGTTATTTTATGAGCTTTGAGTTCACAGTGAATTTTAATATCAAGTTTCCAGTTTCTGTCAAAAAGTAGCAGCCTGTTAACTCAAGGTACAGTGCCTCACCTGCCTTAACTGCTTGGGAAGGTGGAGATAAGGATTGTGGTTCAAGGCCACCCTGGGCAAAAAGTTAGTGCGACCCTGTCATTCCAACTTAGGAGGAGGATTGTGGTCTGAGGCCAGCCCAGGCAAAAAATTCTCTACTCTGAAAAGTAACTGAAAACCAAAAAATAGCTTGGAGCATGGCTCAAATGATAGGGTACTTGCCTTACAAGCTCAAGACCCCGCCGATCAAATGCCCAAAGCCCCAGTCCTGCCCCACCAAACACAGCCTGTTGGGATTATGATTATGATCGATACTATACTTGATTTATAGATTGATTCAGGGAAAAGTGACACATTCCATTTAATTTTTTCAATGGCATTTTATACTTTTTTGAGAATGGTCTTTCATTAAATTTAATTACAACTTTTTTCATTCATAAGTGGAATTATTTCTTGCTTTATCTGTATTTTCTTTTAGTGTACAAATTCCATTTGTGTGTGTACGTGTGTGTGTAAAGATCTTGTATCTTGCAACATTGTTAATTTTACCTAGTTAGTCCTACTGGCTGATGTGCAAATTCAGCCTTGTGTCTGTGTGTACAAAATTTGGTCCCTTACTTACATTTTTACCTCTTCTCAATCTTTATGCCTTTTTCTCTTTAACCTTTCCTATTGTACCCTTGTTTTGGGTTGTTTGGTTGGTTTTGCTTTTTTTTTTTTTTTTTTTTAAACTCTGTGTGATACTAAGGGATTTCCTCCATTAGTGAGGGTATTGAAAGTTTTTGTTATAGTGGATGTTGAATTTTCTGAAGTCCTAATTCTTATGCATTTATTGAAGTTAAGGTTTTTCATCTTTATTCAGTGTTATATTGAAGAATTTTTCACATGTTGAACCAAACCTGCACTCTGGGAAACCACACTCGTTCCTGACCAGACTTCGTATTATGGTTAGATTTTTATTTTAGTGTTAAAAATCTATTTGCTGCTTTCAAGACTGAAGTAAGTTTCAATATCAAGTTTACATAACCCCATAATGCAAATTGAAAGGGATGTCTCTCCCACTCCTTCTCTCCTTCTGTTTTCTTTTTTTTTTTTTTTTTTTTTTTTGGGGTCTGGTCGTGGGGCCTGAACTCTGGGCCTGGGCGCTGTCCCTCAGCTCTTCAACTCAAGGCTAGCGCTCTACCACTTGAGCCACAGTGCCATTTCCGACTTTTTTCTTTTTGCTTATGTGGTGCTGAGGAATCAAACCCAGGGCCTCAGGCATGCAAGGCAAGCACTCTACCACTGAGCCACCTTCCCAGCCCCTCCTTCTGTTTTCTGAAAGTGTTTGTATAGGTGTAGGATTACTATTGCATCTAATGTACATGCTTAGTAACGTCAATAAGCTCCATCTAGGCCAGGTTTCTTAGCTTCAAATTTAATTTTTTTTCCTTAGGTACAGGACTCGTCAGATAACCCCTTAGATGAGTTTAATAGTTTGTTCTTTCAACAGTTGCTCCAATATATCTGTTGTCTTCATCATCTTTGTAATGTCTGTAGGATATCACCTCTTTCATATGACCTCTTTCACACTATTATTTATGATAGCTGTCTTCTCTTTATTTTCTATTCTTTATATTTGTCCTTATCTTTATTATTTTTTCCTTCTCTGTACTTGGAATGTAGCTAGTACACAGTAAACACTGACTAAAAGGCAGCTGTCAAAATACAATTCATATTGGAGTGTAAAAGTGACATATTTTGCCAAAAATGGCTTTGATTGTTTTGTGTAAGGAAAGTTGGTTTTAAAACATACTGTGTGCAAAACAATTCGTGGACTTGGCAAGTGGTCACTAAGAAAAGCAATACGCGTATTGTCAGACATAATTTAAGACTTGATTATTTTGAGAGACAGAATCTACTTAAGAACTATTTTAAATAGAATTGTATTTATAGCTTTTATCATGGGAGTGTGACAAAATGAGGATGCTCGTTTGTATCTCAGTTTAACATCATGTGTATGTTATATATTTTACTATGTAATAGATGTTGAAGAAAACGAAGATGCGGGAGCAACCTCTCTGCCCACTCAGCCACCCGAGCCCTCATCCTCTTCAGCATATGACCCAAGCCACATGCCATCAGGCAGCTTTACTGGAATCCAGATTCCCCCAGGTGCACATGCTCCTGCTAATACCCCTGCAGAAGTGCCGCACAGCACAGGTAAAAAATCCAAACCTCACTTGTTGACTTTCCTTCGGATAGAAAAAGAATGCCACTGCTTATATTTTGCTCCATAATGATGATTTTGACACATGGTATCTTTAAATTCCATTTGAACCCACAAATATATTTTCTCACTGAAGTTTTAATATTTATTGTATTCAATATGTATTCAACTCCCTTCATTCTTGACTTCTTCCTTCTAAAATGAAATTATGCATTACTTTTCCTGATTAATTACTAAAAGGGCAAAAAATGTATAAATGTTGACTAGTAAGCTTTAACATAAAATTTTTTTGTTTCTTTTCCTTCTCTGTTTTCCCTCTTCCTGTCTGTGACAAAGAGACAGCATCTGTAATGACAAAATACTTGGCACTGAAAATGCTTTTGTGAATCAAGGGAAGTGTTACATCTTGGTATAGCATGTCAAAATCTTCAGAAAGATTTTGTGTATTGATTATAAACTATGTAAGAGAGCAGAGCTATAGTTACATATGAATTTAATAGTAATATATTGGTAGTAATATATAGAGAGAGATTTATTGTATATATATATATATGAAAGCACTTTTTAGTAGAAATGCTCTATTGGGTTGATCCAATATAAAATTTTGATTATGTTAACTCAGGCATGAGGTTGTATATACATCATGCATCTCTCTCTCTCTCTCTCTCTCTCATTTATTAGAACAGGAAATAAATAAACTTAGAACTTTATATCCTTTTGGACTTAGTGATTAAACATTTATCTTTGCAGCAGCTATTTTGGAAGCCATCATCTATTTTTAGTCTAAAGAAATTAATCGTTTATCCCAAGAACGTCAGCCTACATGGTAATAGATCCAATATTTGACCCCAATTCCCTGATTTCCTGTTTTTGCCCTCTAACTTTATGTCACCAAGGAATTAAAATACTGCCAAATCAAAACCTATTTCTCTGATATACAGTTCCTTTTAATATTGGTTTGAGTTGTTGGAATCTCCTCTTAGCCTCCAGATTTTTTCTATTATATTTGAAGCATTTTGAACTTAGTTCATAGTCATACAAAAATCAAAATAAGTTTTCATTTATAAACATAGCAGATGTTTCCCCTCTTACTCACTTTAAGAACGATTTACTTTCTTTCAAATAAAGGTCCAGGATGCACTTTTATCAAAGGGAAATCCTTAAGATAGCTGAAAAGAATAGTATGTACTAATTTACAGCTTTTAGTTCTTCCACAAAAAGCAAAGGAGGGTAGGAATGGTAATTGTTTAACCAGTTTTTGCTTCTTGTGCCTTGCTCTCTCCATAAATACTACATGCTGGTGATTAGAATGTAAGGGTTTTTTTGTTTGTTTCTTGAAGCATATGCCTCTTATACTCTATAAGTGTTACAGAATATCTTAGAAGAAAACCCAATTAGATAAAAGAATTGGGTTATAAATAGTGCTAACCTTTTTATTAGAAACTGAGCTTTGTGGTAATAATGGTTTCAGAAGTGCTGTATTTGCATTCTTCTGTTAGGTTTTGGTGTTTTCTTTTACATTCTTCTCTGTGCGTTTCTTTCAGTTCCTGTGATTATACTGAACCCTATCTGCCTACTTCTTTACCTCTGTGCCGTTCCTCTCAGTTTAGTATATCTTTAACTCTCAGGGTTTTTGTGCTTTCCAAATTTTTCCCTTCACTTTGTCTGAATCTTTTTATATTTTTTTTCAATTTTATTAGTTAAAATTTTTAGTAAAGATTTTTGTAAACCAGACATGGTGATACATGCTTGTAGTTTGTAGTCTTATACTTGGTGAACCAGGAGCCTGGCAAGTTCATGGCCAACCTGTACTGCATGGGGTAGCCCTGGCTAAAACATGCACAAAATATGAGTTTTCATGATTATTAATATGTCCAAAAGTTATAAAATGAATTATACAAAAAATTAAGTGATGTAAAATAATATATATTTCATGCACTTTTTACCTTTAGGTAGAGATAAATCCTTCAGAGACAGAACTATTCCCCTGGAAAACTATTTAGAATTTCATCAAGTTTTGTGAAAGCATTGTTCTACAACTCTTCTACACCATGTACTTGTATCTCTAGAAAATTCCTAATTTATCTTCTGCCTTTCTTTTGTTCCTGTTTCCCTATCCCAGTGTATTTCCCCCTAATTATCTCTACTACCAATTGCCAGTTGTCATATATCCTACTCCAATTAAACCTGATACCTTAGAATAAATAACCTTGCTTTGACAGATTATTTGATTTCATTGGTTTTGACTAACCAGTTTTTCTACTTCATTTGCTTTATAATTATATCTCACCTTGTCCCCAAAAATATTAATATGGCTAAGGAATTAAAATGTGAGAAGAGAGTATGCTTTTCAGATAATGTGATGTGTAAGGTAAAGCTAAGGTTTCATCTCCAGTACCTCAAAATGAAGACGGGGAAGAGGAAGATAGTCAGACACAGAATTCTTTCTTAGTATATAGTTCAAGTCTGCTCGTTTTTTTGTTTCTGATTTACAGGTGTCACAAGTAGTACTGTCCAGCCAGCCCCACAGACTATTCCAGCCATCGATCCTGCACTGTTCAGTACAATTTCCCAGGGTAAGTCAGCTGGATGTTGTGTAAGTTGTATTGTATCCTGCTTTAGGGTATTACTTTATAATATTATCTTGGGAGTACCAGGTATTTAAATGTTCTTATTTAAATTTGAATGTCTAGTTAATTCAAAACAAATTTCTTTCAATGCCTGTGTTCACTAAATTCTCAAATGAACCAGGACTATCATATAATCAAGAAAATTGGATATGTTCCCCTTTGTTCCACTTCTTTCTTTTTCTTTATTTTGTCGTCTGTTACATATATCTACAAACATGTAGTAGCTAAAGCCACCATGGAAGCTGATGCTAAATTATTCAAGATTGCTATATATTATGACTGTGACCTTCCTTTTCTGCACTAGATTGTCTCAAGTAATTTGAAAATAAACATCTCTGAGATTAATTATTTTGATGGGCTGTTTGATAGGTGATGGTATGTTGATTCTGATCTTTCCTACTTTTCTGTTTCTTACCTCATGTCATATATAAGGTTATTTTTATTTTTCTTGTTCATAGATTACTTCTTCATATGTGATATGGGATTTAATTTTTTATATTTAAAAACTCTAAGTGTTTTTAATAATCATTTCCTCTGATTGCATGTATGCAGGTATGTATGTTTTCTTACTTGATTGTCTAGATACATGAACTTAAAGGGCAAAATGCAGAACATGATAGAGTATGACCCTGTTTAAAAGGAAAGAATGAAGAAACAAAACTATACTTTTCTAGGTATATACCGTTGTGTAAATGTGTAGAACAATCTGTAGTATATACTTCCGTGTTTTGTTCTTATTTCTTTACTACTTCGTGCTAATTTACACAAATCTTAAAGGTGACTTTTTTCTCTCAGATGGTACTGGTTGACTCAGTCTCATACTTACCCAGATTGCTTGCTAGTCTGGCTCTGTACCAGTTGAGCTGCACCTCCAGCCTAGCATTTTAGATTTTTGCTGGGTATTTTTAGAGATGGACTCTAGCAGACATTTTTGCTAGGGCTTCCAACTACAGTTCTCTAGATCTGTTTCTGGAGTAGCTAGGATTACAAGCATGAGCCACCAGCACCCGGCTTCAATTCAGATTTTTAGTTCATATTTTTATTATCACTTAATTACATTTTTTAATGAAGGAAAGCCTGATAAAAAAGTAATTATTTGAAAATATCTTTTGTATTTGTTAAATAAACCTAAATAAATAATCCTAATTCTTAATATGCCTTTAAGTTATATTTTGAATTAAAATCTGAGTTTATTATTGTAAGTAAGTTATTGTTTTTAATATGAGTTACATAATTTGTTATGCATGTCTATAATTTATACATATATAAAATAATACATTCACGTCTATTTTTCAATTAAAGTGCTTTATTCTCATTTTATAAATACTAAGATTATTTTATGAAAAATGCAATATTTGTGCCTTAAGACAGTTTTATTATTGGTGGCTAAGTTTACCTTATAAAAACTTTAAATAGTAACAGTTCTTGTCATTATATAATTATGTCTTATTAATTTTGAGTGATGTGTCAGCAAGCAGAGCCCAAAAGCCAGTGCTGTTAAAATAAGATTAATCTGAGGATGAGGGCTGTCTTCCAGCAAGTCTGGTAAATTCTAGATGGATGCCTTCTGTGTTTAAAGGATACAGTATTAAAGCAGAAATGCACAATGTTGAAGGGGAAGGGAACTCATACTACTTACCTACATGATATGTGTATCCAAGACACCTGAGCCTCTTCACTTTTTGATAGATAATTAACGAATCTGGAACTTTTCAAGGAAAAAAAAAATAGAAGCTGAAGTATACCTGACTAAATTATCAGTAGAACTGAAGAACAGTAGTTTTTTTAGGTTGACTGGGTAACAAATACCAAGTTGACTATAAATGCTTTTCAGAACTTGTGAAGAAACTAAATTGATGCATACTGCTAGCCTTTTAAGTGAGACCAAATTTCAAGGAAACTGAAATAATACCTTTTACTATTAGAAAGTGAAATCATAAGGACCATATTTAATTTTAAATGATACTAACTCAATAAGTCTCTGAAGATTATATAGCACCCTGAAATATTACTCTGTCAGCTCAAATTTACAAGTATTGCCTTTAAAATCTGAAACTTAATCTTTTATTGTATAAACTTTACTTTTGAATGTCTAGTATGAACAGTTTTTTCATACTTATTTGCTAAAATTTCAGTAACATTTAATTTTAGAAAATGCTGATTAAAACAATATCAAATTACCTAGAGTTACCATTTCCTCCTTACCTAATACCATAATTTTCATTTTATATGTATCAGTAACAAAATTGAAAACATCTAAAAACTAGTAATTCTGAATGCAACCTTATAAAGAAAATTATAATGTTTATCCTTCTCATTATATTCTATATCTAGCCTCCCCCTATCAGTAAGTATTGCTTCCAGTCCTCATATTAATATCCACAAGGAAGTGGGGCTATTGCGGAAGACTCAATTTGCTTTTAATCTTACACTTGGAAACACATATTCAAGTATGTTCATATCTAAGATTTAATTAAATAATATATTTTAACCCAAATTAATTAGTTGGGTTCTTACATGTTAATTGGGTATATAGGTGGAAAATTGCTGAAAATAAATATTGGAGAATAATTTGTCCATGGTTTTCTATTTAACTGTGTGTTTTAATGATTAAAAAAAAAATTCTTTGAAGAAATTTGAGAATTTTTTACATGGATAGCACAAAAATGTAGAACATTTTAATGCTGGAAAAAAATTAATACATGTAATATTTCACATAAAGTATATTATTCACCTTTTATATTGAGGGTTATATTTGTATTCTAGCTCATCAAGGTTGAGGGTTTAGTCTGTGTGTATTGTTCCGTGAAGAGAGGAACTCAGCCAGTCTAGTATAAACTCCTAAGCTGCCTTCTTGTTCCACACAAACTGGGGGGTAGAGAGGGACCTTGTTTGCAATTGATTTGCTAAACTACAAAGGCTTCTAGGCTGTTTTACTGAAGAAAAAATGTTGCTCATATGAACCATTCTTTATTGGCATGTCTCTAGTTTATAATATTTAACAAAAGAATGATGAAAATTTATCAAATGCAAATGGCATTAACACAACCTTCATGTCTTTATATAACCTTAAATATTTGCTCTAATCTTGAACATAAGCATGTACTTTTTTATGTAGTCTATTGCATGTCTTGGTTATTTTTCCTCCTCTAGGGGATATCCGTCTCACTCCCGAGGACTTTGCGAGAGCTCAGAAGTACTGCAAATATGCTGGCAGCGCTTTGCAGTATGAAGATGTGAGCACCGCTGTACAGAATCTGCAGAAGGCCCTCAGGTTGCTGACGACAGGCAGAGAATGAAGTCTTTGTTCAGGAGAGAGCCATGTATTTTTGGCATAAGGAACTATTAGTCCATTATTGTATCCTCAGCCTATCAGGAGCACAATTTTAAGGAAGACTTTGGTTCCATTGACCAGGATAGTGACTCTGTGTGTATCAGATTCCTATTGAAGCATTCAGCAGCCTCAGCCAATTTCATTGTCCATTTAGTGGATCCAATAATCTCTGAGTACATAAGGCTGATGTTAGCAAGATCCTAAAAATGTCCATTGAACTCTGCTTCAGAAAATGAAAACACACCTTTACAAAATCATGTTGGGAATAACTTTCTTAATTTACACACATTAAAGGATTTTTTTTAAATCTGTATCTGGAAAAATAAACCATACTACTTTTTACAAAACTCTAAGTTTAACTTTTAATACAGATTGCCAGAATATTCTAGGTTAGGGGTCATGTTTTTGTCTTCCTCGAGATTTACAAAACAAATACAAACATCCGAAAATACTAGATGAATCCAAAAGAGATTGTGTTCAAACTCAGTTTATAGTCATGTCAGCTGTTATTGTTAACAATTTGAAATTTCACAGAAGGAAATATGAAGTGACAAAGTAGAATCTCTCTTAGATTTCTGAATGTTAGTTTCCAACTGCTTGCCCCTACCCATTGAAGTGTATGGTGAATTGGTGTTTGCTTCATAGGCAGTTTGCATGTATTAAAAAAATCAAAAAACTGTAGTAATTCCTGGCAACTTGATGCTTGAAGTTAACGTTCTCCTCTGCTGCTGTGGAGTGGTTCTGTATCTATTGTGTAGATGGGATGATGCAGAAGACTGTGGGTCTTCAGATTCTGTTAGAAGTTTCTTAAGTTTCATGGGGAGCTATGGACTTTTGTACCACCTGGAGTAGTGCTAAGTAAAAAAAATAAATGCAAGGGTTCTTTAACTAGTTTAACTTATAACAGAGCCAAATGTCTGTATTGATCTGCATGATAGAATTGTCTTTTTTTAACTATTTATATTTAGTTGCAGAATTACAGATGCTTCTATAGTAAAAAAAAAAAAAAAAAAAGATGGTTGATAAAAAATGCATTTGTCAAATTTTCATGAAACATACATAGTCCACTTTATTAGGTCACTTGAATAGGATTGGGTAGGAATTTGTCAGGCTCCAGCAGGGTGACTTGTTACATACAGTGTTAGTGGATAACCTTACTTTTTCATGAAAGTTGCTTTCCACAGCTTCAGAGTTGCTGGACTTACAAGGATGTTTACTAAAAAAAGTTTCCTGACCCCTATTTTAACAATGTCTTTGAAAGAAAGTAAATCACTAACTCATAATCATTTGTGTCCATTTTTCTCTACATAAATGTGTTTGTTAGAATGAATAATCAGACTGAATGAACTATTCTAAATTATTGTTTAAAAGTCCCATTGTCTCCTTAATTTTTTTTTCTCATATGTTTTCACAGACAGGATTTAGCAGATCTGGATAACCAGTGCTCGAAGATAGTCTATAAACCATCCTTATAATTGACAACTGGCTAGAATTATTCTAAAAGAGTTACATATAAGCAAATTTTAATTCAATTCTTGTTTATACACTAAAAAATATCACCTCCTATTTCATACTCTCATTAGGAGAGCACCTGGCAGGAACGGGACAAGACCGTGATGACAGGGCTACGTGGTACCACAAAACCCTTCACTCTGTTAGGAGACTTGAAATACAATTCATGAAGTGCTTAGCCCAAGGTAGAATTCAATAAGTGTTTATTGTTGTTCATTTTAATACTATAATGTAATGTGGATGTTAAAATTTTACTTGCCAAATATTAGGGGGAAAAGTTTTCTTTGTGGCCCAATGTCTGAAAATGCTTTCATGCCTGAGGGACTGCACTTCATAATGTTTTCTTACTTTGTATTTGTTTTTCTGTAAATGCTAATGATAAAACTCCCTCATTCTGGTGTAACACTAGGAAAAACAATTTTTATTCATTCAACATCTATTCACTGAGCAGCTACAAAGAACCTATTTTTCCTTGCAAAAACAAGTAGCAGGAAAAAAAATCTCTGCCTCAGAGTTTAGGTTCTAATGAGGTAAAGAACAGACATGTTAAATAAAAGTATATCATATATTGTATTTGGCTAATGGTCCTCAGGCGGTATTTGTTACAAATGCAGTCTGGGGCCCAGCCTCAGTCTCATGTAGTCAGAAAGTTCATGAATCGAATATTTCTGAGTTTTCAGAAACAGTAGGTAGTTCCTAAAGTTTGGGTGGGTTAGCTCTACGTAACTCAAATAAGATGAAAGACTGGAAGGAGAGATTACCAACAAGCAGTGCTTTTCAAAGGGTGTTGTCCCTGGAACCACCAGCATCATTTGGGAACTAGCTAGAAACTTTTGGGAACCAAATTTGGGAACATTCTATATTGGATAGTAATGTGATGTGGAAAAAACTAGAGCACAGGCTAGGAGGTACTTAGTTGTAAGTAGACTAGCACATATTTAAATAGGCCTCCCTGAGGAAATACTTGTGATAACAGAAGGAAAGTCACTGGTCAAGCTGATGCATGAAAGAGGGAAGAAGAAACAAAGGCAGAAGATGTAAGTTGGTATGAAGGTGAAGAGGGAGCCAGAAGGCGAGGTGTACGGCAATACAAGGCTTTGTAAGGGACTTGACTGAGGTGAGTTGTTACATAGAGGTTCTGAGCAGAAGACAAGCCTAATGTGATGTAACTTACCTTTTAAAGGATCATACTGGCTCCCATGTGGATGCTGGACCACAGGCAGGTGTTAAGACATTGAGAGGCCAGTATTTCAGTGATTAAAATGAGATCAAATGGCTTAGCGAGCTGGTAGCCTGGAGAGTGTGAGATGTGATTGGTGTCTAGCTTTTGAGCAGAGCCACGGGAAATGAAGAATGACCAAAGAGAAGCGAAGGCTCACTGAGTATTTAGCCTGAAAACAGGGAAGGAATAAGGAACCCTTCATCTCAGCTGGGAAAGCAGCTGAAGTCTTTTGTCATTTAGGTTGAAATACAGAGTTTCCAAGCTGTTGTGACTATCCCAAGTAAAACTGATAACAGTGCTTTGTCAGTGTAACAGAAAGGGATGGAAAAATAAGATAACTTCACTCTACAGTGGTTGTCACAGATAATTCACCCCAAAATTACTGCTCAACTAGAGATAAGAGAAGCCAAGAATGGTTCCCATGGTTCGCACAGCCAAGCACATTGACAGGCTTCAAGATTGGACCAAGGGGGTGGATGGGTGGGGGAGGGGGAGCTCCTGAATATGCCCAAGTGTTAATAGAAGATTCTATAAACAACTTATACCTCTAGAAAATAAAAGCTTCTCTGTGTAAAAGGATGCATGCTATTCTTACCAATGAAACTTACGCTATGATAGGAGTATCACAAAAGATATTTTCAACTCTGAGAGAACAATAACAAGTCAGGGCTGAATGGGTCTTGGTTATCTGCACAGCTTCCTCTCTTTACCCATCAACCCCCCCTCCCCTTGTAACTTTACTTACTTGGCGTACTGAAGCAATTGGATCAAGACTTCTTGTTTGGTCCCTAATCAAATCTCCATCAGTAGAAACATACTGTTCTTAAAGGGAATCCCAATTTTTTTTTAAAGATTTCCTTCATTTGGAGCTTACTAAATGCTGTGTTTACTAAACGCCAAACACTCTTCTAAGTAATTTTACATACCAGAATATATTTAGTCCTGCCAGTGGCCCTGAGAGGTGGCTCCTACAGATGAGAAGATGGATCCGCAAGAGAATAGATTTACCTAAGCTACCTGTAAATTACGTTAGACCATAGGAAGTATGCATGGAGTAGGGAATGTAATGAAGACATCCTTTAAATACTGTAAAGACATTACTAACACATTATTTTCCCCCAAAACATCACTCCCCCTGCTCCGTTTCCTGTCCCTTAGAAGCTGAGGGGGCCTAGCTTCAGCGCAGCCTGGAGAGTACCATGAGCAGGTTGCCTGAAGCACCAGGAAGGAGGTGGTGAAGAGGGAAACTGGAAGCCGGTGAAGGGATGAAACAGACTAAAGACAACAGGAAGGGCACAACTCAGTCTCAACAAGCTCCAGGAAATGTCCCTGTGTCAAGAGAACCGCTGGGGATTCTGACTAGGACTTGTCCAAGGGCCGCTTAAGTCATCCAAATGCTACATATAGTCCTTGAAAGAAAATTGTTGAAGCGTTTACAACATGCAGTCCTTTAGAAGTTTCCAAGAACTTTTCCAGCTAATCCCATTTTTGTCTTTTTTGACTATGATTGGAAAGGGACTATCATTCCAGAAACTCCAAGCAAACTTTAACTTACTAGGACTATATTTGATAAAGTGGTGAATTACCTTCCCAAACAAGTCTAATGTTGAAGTATTTCAGAACTCCTTTGGGTTGTTGAATAATCCTGGAAACTTGAATCCAGCCCTAATGAAGTGTGAAAAGCTTTAGTAATGTTGATGAAGGTGATCTAAACTCTTTGATTGAAATTTCTTAAAGATCGAGAGACCTTAGAGATGATCTAATTCATGCTTTCCATCTTATAAGGAATGAAATGGAGACCCAGGGGGAAATTACTTGCTCAAAATCACACAGCTGCTTAATGGAAGAGAAAAGAGAAAGAAAAAAAAAAAAAAACTCGGACACACAAGGCCTCAAAAAGACATTCAGCAACCGTGTTCCAGGTTCTTCTCAGCTTTCGGTTTGATTCGGGCAGGCCAGCGAAAGATGCCATGTAAGGGGGACGATCAAAGCTCTGACATAGATTCATCATAGTAGCAACAACAGCAGCCCATAGCAAATAGCACACTGTTCACTGGTCCCATCCCAGCACAGATTCACAAGCTCTGCACAGAAGCACCAGCTCTGTTCTCTTCTTTAATTTCTGTCCCTGGACACATTCTGTCCAGCAGCAGCAGCAGTTGTGCCCCTTGTCCTCCAGTGGCAGAGCCCTGTCCAAGATCAGTGTCACCCCATCTTCCTATCCTTCAGAAGTACCCGTTCATACCCTCTCTGGGCAAAAGTGGTATTGGCCAAGGATGACCATACATGGCTGTTCACGCATATCCAATCTTAAGGCTGCATGGCAGCCTTACCTTAGGTATCTTAGGTATGGCTTGTGTGCATGACTCAAGGGTTCATGGATATGCTCAACCAGCTGAATCACACAGTTGTTGCAAAGTTCAGGCCCAAAGCACTTCAGAAGCCATAGTGAGAAAAGCCTGACCTCTCTATTTACCCTGCAGCTAAAACTAACACATTTTGAAATGCAGTGCTGTTGTCAAAATACTGAGGTAAGTCCAGTCAGGACCTTTAATGGATGAATTTAGTAATCACTGCATAAATGTTCACCCACTGTTACCCCAAAATACCCTCAAAGTCCACAGAAGAGAAAAGATGCCTTTCACTTCTGCTACTTGATCCTCCAACACCGTCAGGATAATAAGAAACAGATGTGTTTAAAAAAAAAAAAAAAATTCGCAGGGCGCTGGTGGCTCACGCCTGTAATCCTAGCTACTCAGGAGGCTGAGATCTGAGGATCGCGGTTCAAAGCCAGCCCGGGCAGGAGAGACCGTGAGACTCCTATCTCCAATAAACCACCAGAAAACCGGAAGTGGCGCTGTAGCTCAAGTGGTAGAGCGCTTGCCTTGAGCTGAAGAGCTGAGGGACAGCGCCCAGGCCCAGAGTTCAAGCCCCACGACCGACAAAAAAAAAAAAAAAATTCACCATCCTAAGGATATATATGATACAATGCCAAACTCATGGAAGAAACAAGGTTTTAGGCTATCACTGTCCCTTGGGAATATCAAAGAAGGCTTTGTGCAAAATACAGGGCTTGAATATAATTGGATTTGGTTGGGGGTGGGGGTGAATTATGGAAATTTAAATTCGTTTACCTGCTGTCTTGGTTCAGGCTAACTGAACCAAGAAATTGCTATGCCTTCGGTGACCATTTCTTTTCTTACTTGCCTCTGCCAGGGTGAAACTATCTCTCATTTCTTGATGTCTCCTGAGAGCATAAATTCCTAACCCAAAAGAGAGTTTTTGATTTGGAATGAGGAGAAAATACATCTTTAACTTTATAAATCTCTAGCTAGTATTTAGTGTTTTCTACAGTTTTTTATGAAGTTTTGAGAAAAACCCAATAGTATCAGCAGTGATAGTATCATTGAGTGCCACAAACAGAAATGATAGACCATTTCATCCCTCACACCATCACTGCGGTGCTTACTGACCTATGAACATTATTAATGGCCTTATTATGGACATTATTAGACAAGCACTAGGTCTGATTTCATGCCTTAAGAAAGACAAGCTATGTGGCTATACCATGATTTAAGCTTTTAAATATTGATTTCCTTGTATTTTCACAATTGTATTAAGTAATATAACCTTCCCCAAAGATGTCCACACCTAATCCTTAAAATTTGTCAGCATGGTACCTCACCAGTGACAACGGGATCTTGCCAGTATGACTATGATCAAAGAAGTTAAGGTGTAGAGATTATCCTGGGGTCTCCAGGTGGCTTCAGGCCAATCACAAGCCTTCTTAGATGTGGAAGACTTTCCCTGCAGTGGGAGGAGGGACACTGCGGAAAGGGCTGGTCTACTTCAGGAGGCTTTGGAGAGGGAAAATCAACTGGGAGCCAAGGAATATGGGTGGCCTGTAGAAGCTGGAAAGGTGAAGAAATAGACTTGCCCTTAGATCTTCTGTAAAAGAAATTCAGCCTTGTCAACACTTGAACTCTAGCTCACTGTAGCCTTTACCAGACTTCAGCCCCCAGAGCTGTCAGATATAAATTTGAATTGCTTCATTCACTAACTTCGATATGGTAGCAATGGAAAACTTGTACACTATTCATTTTGCTTTACTCATTTAAAATATTCTGAAAAAAATGTTTGCAAAAAAAAAAAAAAAACTGAGGAAAGATGAATGCTGGTGGCTCACACCTATAAACGTAGCTACTCAGGAGACTGAAATCTGAGGGGTGTGGTTTGAAGCTAGCCAGGGCAGAAAAGTCCGTAAGACTCTTGTTTCCAATTAACCAATAAATAACCAAGAAGAGAAGTATAGGTCAAGTGGTAAAGACCCGTGTTTGAGTGAAAAGCCAAGGGAG